ACAACACTGAATCTATGGGTTATTTCTACAGTTGGGGAAGTATCTTTCATCTGCTCTTTTCCATAAAATGCTTGTCTGTCAGATACTGTTCTAAATCAGAGCATTCAAATTAAGACTGATTGGGAGGAAGGATTGGCCATCCACTTCCAAAATAGTAGGCCCTTAAAAACCCTATGTACAATAAAGCACACTTAGGCTAGCAGACATGGTAACTGAGGTGGAACCCTCAAGTATGGAAACACAAAGGAGGAGAAACAGTTTTAAGCAGACACTAGTGATTGGAACATGGAATGTGAGAACCATGAATGTAGGAAAATTAGATATTGTTAAGAAAGAAATGGAACACAAATGTTAACATACTACTTATTAGCAAAATGAGATGGACTGGCATTGGGCATTTTGAGTCAGATGATAATATGATCTACTATGTTGGAGATGAAAAGGTGAGGAAAAATGGGTTGCATTCATAGTTAAAAAAGTCATTTCTATATATGTCTTGAAATACAATATTGTGGCTGAGTGACAGAATAATATCCATACGCATACAAGGAAGTCCAATGAATACCACTATGATTCAAACATATGCACCAACAACCAGAGCCAAAGAAGAGGAAATAGAAGATTTCTACCAATCTTTGCAGTTAGAGATTGATCAAACATGCAATCAAGATGAATTGATAATAATGGGTGACTGGAATGCAAAAGATGGGAACAGAGAAGAAAGATCACTTGTTGGAAAACATGAACTTGGTGACAGAAATGAAGCTGGAGGTAGAATGGTAGAATCTTGCACAATCAATGATTTATTTATTGCAAATTAAATGTATTCAACTAAAAAGAAAACAGAAGTGGCAGAGGATGTCGGGCTAGAAGAGACTGGAGGATGGTGAGAATTTAAATGCTACATACTATTTTCAGCACAATAAAACCAACTTTGCAAAATGAACTAGCCCAATACTCTAATTTTACAAATTAGCAAGAAGAAACTCTTGGGCATGAAGTGACTTGTTCAAGGTCATGCAATTAATGGCAGAGTAGGACAAGGAATCTGTTCACAGAATGTTCCTCTATTGAATTCAGCCTGAAGAGTACCTTGAAAAATCTTACACTTTTAATGAAAACGTCTAAAACTCAGTATCCAAAACTGTTATTTATTGTCCAAAGTAGCCTACTTTAATAGTAAAATTAATTTTATTGGAAAAGTTTTATGGGGATATGACACAGTGAGCCATCATATATTATTAACCCTGTAAAATGGAGATTTTTTTTTCTTGGTGCAAAACAGGAATAACCTCGATGAGATGGATTGATTCAGTGACTGGGGAAATGGGGGTAGATCTATCAGAGACAATAAGATTGGCACAGACAGAGCAGGGTTTAGGGCTGTTATCCATCAAGTCACTGTGAGTCGCAGGCAACTCGATGGTACATAACAACAGTGACAAAAAAGCTGTGCTGCTCCTCGGGAGAAGGATGGACAACTCCCATATGAAACTGTCTCTGAAAACCCACCAGAGGGTCAGCTATGGGTTGGTTTTGACTCCACGGTACACCACAATAAGGGAGCACTAAGTGAATGAGATTACTGATTTGGGGAGAGAAGAGAAAGTATGTTCGTATGTGTGGGTGTATATATTTATAGAGAAAGAGAGAAAAGGGAGGGACAGCAGGCTCTGGTATAGCCTGCAGAGAGTTGAGAAGTAATTAGAAAATCTACAACATTCTGGTGGTTTGAATCTACTCTGTAGGATAAAAATGGGCAATCTTCTGTAACAGCCTCAGAAATCCAATGGAGGGACGGCTATGAATCGGTTCCAATTCAACAGCATTGATAAGTTAATCTACCTATCTATATATTCTGCAAAGTGTGACATGCAGGAATGCTTTGACTTGAGGACAATCATCTATCTATGTAGTCTGTAAAGCTAACATATAGGAAGTCGATGCTGTAAAGGACTTTATGGTTAGCTTATACAATTTTTTTTTATTTTCATGGTTATAACGTATACAAAATACGTGTGTGTATATGTTTGTATTTTCCCCCCCTTGAGCACAGTTTGGGAAGAGTGCCTTAATGAAACCAAGGGATAGCTTGTGAGGTGGGCATAGATGTACCTCCTCTTCCTAGATTCTTGTTCAATAGATCTTGTTCAATAGATCTTGTTCAATAGATCTTCATACCTACAAGGTGAAGTCCACAACAGCTCAGCCTGCCTTCGTGCACCGCCTCTCATGTCCCAAACTACACCCATCTCCTCTATTTTCATTCAAGGTTCCATCCAACTTCTCTGGCTAGACTTAGAATTGTGCTCTCAGAATTCAGAGTTCCTGTCTTATTCATCTTTTTATCACCAGTACCTTTTATCACAAAGTCCCGACACATCGTGGTTACCTCAAAAGTGTTTGATGAGTCTATTAAAATAAGAAACTTTTCTTGCAGGCTGAGATTAATCTCAAAATCAGTGCAGAAATGCTACCACCTTCTTTGAATCCATGAAATCTCTCAGACCATTCTCAAGGTTTACTCTTTCCTTACATTTGTGCCTAGGACTTGCTCTGGGTAGGACCCAAAAATGATCTCCGGGCCGCCGAAAATCTGGAAAGACTGAACTCTCTCGGTTGCGAACAACTTGCAGAACGGAGCAAACAGAACGCAACCCAAAGCTCTGGAAAAGGGTCTAGACCCTGGTTTCTATGGCAACTAAAACGCGCGTCCCCAGCGACGACCGGCTCATTGATTGGCTCAGACGTCTCTATGGTTTCGGCAGCCTAGACGGGCCAAAGCCGCACTTCCGGAAAAATGGCGGCACACAGGCTCGATCAGGCACATGGTTCCACCGAGGGCACCGCGCAGTGACGGTAAGGGGCACCAGAGCCTTGGTATGCTAATGATATTAGCTCCGGCTCAGAAGGGAATGGGAGGTGGGGAGTGCAGTCTTACTCAAGCGAGACTGCACCAGAGGGCTGGAATTTAGATCTCAGGAGGAATCGGGCCTTGAAAAAGAGCAACGTACTAGGTCACCCTTCCAGAAAACGCAGCTTGATTGGAGAGGAAGCGGTGATTCTAAGTGTGCTTGTTGCCTTTTAAAATACTGTGGCTTCCAGTCGCCTGAGACCTTGTCTCATCTGCCCAGTTATTCCGTTATAGCGGTTCCTACCTATGTATAAAACTCAGCAAATGTGACTAAACACATTATCGCTTTCTGGCGCTGTACAACCTCAAACCTCACTGCCAAGAGTCGATTACGTCTTACAGCTACCCTCAGTCTATTTCCGAGACTGTATATCTTTACCAGAGGAGACTGGCCATCTGCTCTCTGGAGCCCCTGGTGAATTCGGAGGGCTACTTTCAGTGCGCTAGGATTGGAGAATAAGATCCTCTGGCAGATGAAATCGACTGGACAGCAATGAGGTTGAAGAGTGTTTTGAGATGGCTTCTGGGGGGGTATAGTTTTACTGCGATGTGGGGTAGGTGTAATACATTTTATGGCATCAAGCTTAAAAAGCTTGAAGAGATTAAAAATGTAATGATAAGAACAATTCTGACGTGTCTGAGTTTCTGGCCCTGTTTGCTAGCTCCAGTGAAACCTGCCAAAGCTGGAACTCAGTTTTCTCAGATCTCAGCAAGTTAGCTGCCAGTGAAAACATACACTTAGTGGGAAATATTTGAGGTTGGTTGTGGTGTTTTTTTCTTTCCCAGGTTTCACTGTATTTTATGTGCTCAAGTAAATAAATATGTCAGTATCTTGTCTTCATATATAATTAATTTATGGCTAGTTACATCTAATAGAGTTGCTTGGAGGGTTAAATGAATTAATCCACATGAAGCGATTAATAACAGGTCAGCTGTCATTGAGGGTGAATGGGCAATAAGTGTTAGAGGTGATTATCTTATCATTATTGAAATTCAGTAGAACCATTCCAATCTAGTTCAAATCCAGCAGACGCTCCTCAAGAAAAAGATGGGCAGTCTCCTCCCATAACGATTTACAGCCTTGGAAACCCATTGGAGGTCCCTATGAAAAATCTGCCTGGTACAATTCATGGGGACCTCACGGGTGCCAAAGTAGAATGGTACCCCACTGGTTTTCAATGGCTTATCTTGTAGGTCACCAGACCTTTCTTCTGAAGTGACTGTGTACACCCAGACCACCAACTTTTCAGTTGAAAGTCTGATATTTCACTATTTGTGCATCCCAGAGACTTCATTATGTATTTGGTTCTCAAAAGTTATTTTCCTAAGCTGGACAGTTCCAAAAGAAGAGCTCTAAAAGACAGAGTTAGAGTAGGAGTAGATGTACAGCAAGTCCTATTATAACTTAAATTAAGCACCTCAACACTTTTGTTTGGGTAGTAATATATTTTGGGAAATGTTACTGTGTTGTGGTAAAGAGGGCAGACTGCAAATAGATTGCCTGTGTTGAATTCTGTACACATTAGCTGGTTATTAGCAAAACACCTATATTGTCTTTGGTGTTGTGTGCCGCTGAGTCCGTGTTGGAACTGACTCATAGCTGACCCTCCAGTGGGTTTCCAGAGGCCGTAAATAACACAGAAGATTGCCCATCCTTCTGTGGAGCAGCCGGTGGTTTCATACTGCATGATTTTGGGATTGCAGGGCTGCTTCTTACCACTAGGCCAGCAGAGCTCTTTTTAAGTCTTTGTTTTATCCTTTATGCAGTAGGACTACTAGTAGCTGGGAAGATTAAGCATGTGGTATTTATCTATTTAGGCATTATGAGATATTACATCTATTTAGGTACTGTTATTCTTATCATCAGTCCTATTTGACTTCTTGATTTACTGATACTGGCATCACTGTGGTCAGACAAGGAATTTTCTGAAGACCAGGCCACCTCCTGTTGCTCTCCCCATGGCTCAGGAAAGAATTCTTATAAAAGCAATCAGAGTGGAGGTGATCGGATGATTTGGATACTTTCTTTTTTCTCATAACAGTGAATTCTCCAGTGAAGGCCTAAGGACAGTGCCTTTTCCTCACCATGAGTGCTTCCCCAGAGCTCAAGGGTCGTGGGATGAAGTTTGCTGAGGAACAGCTGCTAAAGCATGGATGGACTCAAGGTGATCCCCACTGGGCCTGTCCACATCCCCCTAAACCTCAGCCCAGGGGAGAGGACAACCTCAAGCATCTTGGGATTGTTCTCATATAGACCATTCAGTTAAAAAGAAGAAAAATTAGTTTAAAATAAAGTTTGCAGAAAACCTATCTTAACTTTTCCAGAAAAGGAAGAATGGAAAAAATTTGACAGTGGGTAGTGAGAAGGAAGAGCTTGAGAGGACTGAGGGAGCTGATGCCAATTGAATCTCAGTCTGTTTTAACCTAAGCGAGCATTCTAAATAAAGCATATTTGCTGTAAAAAAATAGACTGAAGGAGGGAGGGAGGAGGACACATGACTTGTGATCTGAAAGGGTTATTTCAGGGTTAGACAAAGGTAGAGGGACTGCATGGATGGTGCTAAAAGGAATAGAACTGGTTTCTGGGAGAAATGGAGTATGGAGTCTGGCCCAGTGCTGTGTATATAGGATGGCAGGTGTTAAGGGTCCCTTGAGAGGGCTTGTAGCAGGCAGTAGGATGAGCCAAGGCATTCATTATCATCACTGTCTGCAGGCAAAGGCTTGGGCCGGAAGGAGAATGGTATCACCCAGGCCATCAGGGTGACAATGAAGCAGGATACTCACGGGGTAAGGCCGGGCCACCACCAGAGGGAGGTCAGCATGGAAGGAGAGGACGTCCCTGAGGGCAGGCGATCAGAGCTCACTGTTCTTCCTCTCACAGGTAGGACATGACCCAGCCAAGGAGTTCACAAACCACTGGTGGAATGAGCTCTTCAACAAAACTGCAGCCAGTCTGGTAGTGGAAACTGGGCAGGTATGAGCTCTGATAAATAGGCCCAGGAAACATGAGGACCTGGGACACATGGGGGTAAGGAAGACATGGTATGTCACCCACTCACTGATACTTTCCTACAGGATGGAGTACAGATAAGGCACGTCACTAAGGAGACTACACGTCGTGATCGTCTCAAGCCCAATTTGTTGTATCAGAAGTTTGTGAAGGTATTAGAGGCTAGGGGTGAGAGGGCTGTCCTTTTCCCTTTTCTTGGTTTCCCTTGGAGCCTAAACAATTGCATTGTAAGCCCTTCCTATTCTCAGAACTTCCCTGAGATAGTGGGATCTGTGACTACCTTATTCCTCACTTAGACTTCTGCAGCTCTCAGCAAGAATTGGAATCTTCAGGATCCACAGATTTCTAACATTTGCTGAAGGAGTAGCAAGCCGTAGGGAGTGGGAACTGGGGCATAATCCCTCTAGCAAGGAACTGCCAGAGCTGGGTTGGGAGTCTTTAATTCAGTGGATTTAGATGCCAGAGGAAACCTGAGTGATATTTGCTGAGGCCAGAAGGGGAAAAATGACTTGCAGAAAAAGCTGGTTAGTAATGGCAGATAGGACTAGAGCCTAGGTCTTCAGACTCCCTTTCAAGAAAGAATTCTTTAATGATTATGTGTTACATGCCAAGGGCTTTAAATTTTACCTGTAAAAGTCTTCCTCATTTCTTGACATCTACTACCTTAGTTCCTGCCATCATCTCCACTTGGCCTAATTTAACAGCCTCCTAACCAAATTGTTCACCTCTGGCCTCCCTCCTCAAACCAAACAGTTCCTTGTCCTCAAAGTAGCCCAACTATTCTACACAAACTTACTGTCACTGGCTCCCCTTTGACTTAGGGTGCCGAGTCCTGACTCATCCGTATGGCTTATCTTGCCTTTCACACCTCTTCCCTGCCTTCTGACCAACCTCGTCTCTTAATACATTTCGATGCGAGACATCTGGCCACATCTCTCCACGACCTCTACATTGAAGCCAGATAGAATCCATTTCTTTCACCTTCGTGCTTTCCACATGCTATTCTGTGACATTCTTCTCTCCCTTAGCCTATTAACTTTTTCTTGTCTCTAGAGCTCTGCTACACATAATTCCAGGACCCTTTACCTGAACCTGAAATTTGAGTTCAGTGCCCCTATTGCAGCACCATAGGCTCTTCCACCATAATTGCCTTTGTGCTGCCACATTCTTCTCCCTGACCACAGATGTTTTATTTGGGTTGGACCCATCTCATTCTAATTTGTATCCATAACCTGTTGGCCCATAGTGAGTTCTTAGAAAGTACTCATAAAATGAAGGCTTACGTGTTCATAGGTACTGGAGTTGTGAAAGTGCACTCTATCAGTTACTACCATCATGAGATGATTAGTTGGGGATACTTAATTCTACTGGGAAACCTTAATTACCCAACACCCCTCCCTTGAGGGTAAGAGGCCACTATCGCCTTCCAGAACTGTACCCTCTTCCAGCAACTTGCTTTCTGCCCAAGTAGGAGTGTCCAGTAAGGGATTCTCCTGTATGGGTCAGCAGACTTGGGGGCTAGCAGATTTGTACCTGACTGAATTCTTGGTGGGAGGCTTCTGTGAGGGAACAGGATAGTAGGGGTATTAAGTGGACCTTGTCCTCTCCTGTGTTCCCTTCTAGACTGCCACACTGACTTCTGGTGGGGAGAAACCAGACAAGGACTTGGAGAATTGCAGTGATGACAACACTCCGGGGCCCAAGTCCCCAAAGATGTAAGACTTCCATTTTAGCACTGGGAGCTTGTGGGAGGAGACACCCTCAGACCTCAAGAGAAAGGACCATGTCTATAGCTTGACATGGGTGTTGGGGGAAGGAGGAACTCTCTTGTATTAATCTTTTTATTCCTAGCACTTGGGAACGTGCCAAGTACTAAGCAACACTGTGCTGAAGCAATGTTTTAGAAAAGTTAAGCCTTTTCTCCAGATCTGTTACTCTTGCTCTGTCTTCACAGTCTGACTGATGAGATGTTGCTCCAAGCCTGCGAGGGACGAACAGCACACAAGTAAGTGATTGTCACCTTGTCTGAGTCCCATCTCATTTATCTGCCCAAGCTCACCTTGAAAGGTGGTCTACCACCATATCTCCTTGGTTGTTTTCACTCCAGAGAAATCCTTCCTGTCTACCAACCTCTTGCCTGACTGAAGATGAAGCATGACCCACCTATCTCAACTTTCCTGCATTTCCAAGAACTAAGGCCATTTCCTCTGATATCCTTGTTCTGAATTGGGCCTTGTTTTTCAGGGCTGCTCGTCATGGGATCACAATGAAGGCCAAGCTTGCTCGTCTGGAGGCCCAGGAACAGGCTTTCCTGGCTCAGCTCAAAGGCCAGGACCCTGCGACTCCTCAACCAGAGCCTGACACCAAGCCTCCAAAAAAAATGAAAAAGAAAGAGGAGGAAGATGCTCTAGCAGCAGAAAGGAATGGAGAAGAACACTCAGAACAGACTGACCAGAGTCTTAGGAAAAGCAAGAAGAAGAAGAAAAAGAAGGAAGAACACCAAGAAGATAAGGTCTCATATGAGAGGGAGGAAACTGTAGAGAATGAGGAAGAGATTGCTGAGACCAGTGGGCTTGGAGAATTGAAGAGCAGAGAACAAACTAGTCAGCCCCTCAGGAAAAGAAAGAAGAAGAGGCAGCAGCTGACCTTGGATAAAGGAGAAGGATGTAAGGAGGCTGAAGAGGGTGTCAAGACCAAGGACGTGGAGAACAGAGAATACCTATGTAGTGGAGGCAAGAAGAGGCGGCAACGTGTGGAGGAGCAGCAGCATTTGAACACAGATGAAGAAGGTGAGGAGACTGCTGTAGCTAGTAGGACCAGGGAAGCAGCAAGCAGCAGAGCATGCAGTGATCCGGACAGCAGGAGAAATAAGAAAAGGCAGCGGTGTCAAGAGAAGCAGGTGGAGGTAAGGGATAAAGATGACAAGATTGCAGGAAGCAGGACTGGTGAAGTAGAGAGCAGAACACACACTGGTGCATGCAGCAGGGAGAAGAGGAAGCAGCGGCATTCAGAGGAGGAAGAAGCCAGCGTCAACACAGGTCAGAGAACCAAAAAGAAGAAACACGAGAGAGACTAAAGGCCAGGTCAAAGTGGGGTCCAGCTGATTCCTTTTTAGGAATTAGAGCCGTAGAAACATGAGTCAGTTCGGGTCTTCTGTATTACTTTCAGTGGATTACCTATCTGTTGAGATGAGTGCTAGAGCCATGCTTCGGTTGAGATAAAAGATGCTGGGCTCTTTGCATCTTCAAGATCATGAACTCCGGTAGGAGACAGGCAGCAAAAGACAAAACCAAAGTATTACAATGAAATGTGCAAAGGGCTGGGGTTAGAAAACCAGAAAGAAGGAATATACTTGGAATTTCTCAGGCTGAAAGAACTAAAGAACAAATTCAAGTTTTGAATTGCAATAGTGAAGGATTCTGTGGGCAAAGTCTTAAATGATGCAGGAAGCATCAAAAGAAGATGGAAGGAATACAGTCATTGGTCCAAAAGGACTACACTGAACCTTTTCAGGAAATATTATATAATCAAGAACCAATGGTAATGAAGGTGGATGTTCAAGTTGCACCAAAGGCACTGGCAAAAATTAAGGCCCCAGGAATAGATGAATACTAGTTGAGGTGTTTCAACAGATGGAGGAACTCCTAGAGAATTCCCTGTCAATCTATCTTTCCTATTATTTCTCTGAGAAATGTCACCATATCCTCAGTGTCCTCAGGCTCTCACCGCCCACTACCCCATTTCTAGAGAGGAGGAAAACAGACACCCTTTGAAGGGGTATCCCTGCCTCAGTTCTGGCTGAATGCCAACACAGAGGCTTTCTATTTTGTCTGATCCCTTTATTTTTAAAAAAGAGGCTATAAAATAGAAGACTAATTTAAATGTGTATTCTTTCAATAAAAACATACAGCTCAGTCCACAGAGCACCAGTTTATAACACTGTATACTAAATAACCGGATACAGGCATACCCCACTTTATTGTGTTCCACAGATAAGGCATTTTTACTTTACAAATTGAAGGTCTGTGGCAAATCTTCAACAGTACCATTTCTTTAACAGCATGTGTTTGCTTTGCATCTTGGTGTCACATTCTGTGAGTCTCACAATGCAATTTTCATGTTACTACATACTTAACAGACTAGACAGACATAGCTTCTGTATGAACTGGAAAAGAGAAAAAAAACTTGTATAGTCCATTTTATTGTGATGTTCACTTTATGCAGTGATCTGGAACCTAACCCACAATATCTCTGAGTTATGTCTGTAAATACCAGCTTGGGCTCTTAGCATGTATCAGACTATCTATCCTGACCTCCATTCCCAGCCGGAGTCTCCAGGGCAGGTCCTGAATACAATGGAATTTTCCTTGGAAGCCTTTGAAGAAAATCCTTCCAATTGTAGAAAATATCCTAATTGTAGAAAATCCTTCAGTGCTGTTAAGTGAAAAGAGAAAGCTTTGGATTGAATCTCATCCAATTCTGTCTGCATCCCAAATGTGTAAGAATCACTTATGTGTAAAGAGCACACCTCAATTGCAAGCCTATGTTAGCATCTAACTGCCTCCAAACGCCTGTTTTCTCTCAGATGTTACTGTATCTTTGGTTCCCGCCACTCATTAATCTTCATTGCAGGAAGTGTTCCCATGACACGACAGTTTTGGGAAAAGGAGGCACTAAGTCTGTTGGGAAGAATCCCCACACCCCTTCCCTCACTGCAGACGGTAGACACACTCAGTGTCAGGGTAAGGGGGTAGGTTCAGCTGATACTTCTTTTCCAGAGCAGGTGGTACAAAACGGCCCCCCAGGTAGTGGTAGCGACCAGTAAACTGTGTTGCAGACTTTTTGGGTGCTGTCAGAGAAATCAGCAAGTCTGGCTGGAGCCCTTCAGAGTTTCCCTTCTCCACATCCCATCCTGAAAAGAAAACGGTATTGAGGAAGGACACATATGACCATAGATTTCTAGTTAACCGTGTCATAAAAGTATTAAGCCCCTGGGTCTTTAAAGGAATTCTTGTCCCAGGAGCTCCAGTTCCTTCATGGGCCCACTGTATACAGGGAACTCCTGAATTCTGCTATCCAGCCTCAGTAAGGGATCCATAAAGCTATGCCCTGCCCCTCCACATTCAAACTACTTCAGACTTGGTCTTTCAGTAAATTTAGGATTCTTGGTTTTTGCCTGAAAACGGGCAGAACCTCTATATCCCCCGGCCAATCTCCTTGAGCCCAGTACCTGAGGGAATGTCAACACTTGCAATGGGTACAGTGACTCCTTTTAGAACTTTCAGGATACTCTGGAATGGCTCCCGAACATCACCCTTGAAGCTGAAGCCAAAGATGGCATCGACAACCAGCTCATACAGCTCATCAATCAGCATGGGCTGTTAGGAAACGGGAAAGCTGTCAGAGCCAGCAGCTGCACAAAGAGACCTGAACGGGAGAGGATTGTGTGCTACACTCGGAGTGTACATCATTCAGAGTATTCTGAGGCCTAATACAAGCACGTGGTGGTGGCTCACTGATGGGCCAAGCTGAGACCAGAGTATCTGTTCTGAGAACCAGCCTATGTACTGGGGAGGCTAGAGTAGGGGGCACCCCAAGACTGGGAGTTGCGAGAGCAGGATTCTGGTCTCCGCCATCTTATTCTGGGACTTCTTTTATCCATACTTTAGGATCTCTGTAAAATGTGTTTCTTTAAAAAAAGACCAGTTTTCAAGTTCCTCACCCCTAAGTCCACATGTCTGCAGAAATGGGTTAAGATAAAGCATTCCCTCTAGCTCCTGAGATGGGGTTAACTGTATCTATGAGAAAGGAACTGACTCCAGAGGTAAGAAGTGACCAGGGGAAAGAAAGCTTTCCAGAAGGTATTGGGGGAACTGGGGACATATAGAGGGAAGGGCCTTTATATATTTAAATAATTTCCTCAGACACTATCCCTGCCCTCTAAGAGGTATAGTCTAGAGGGGAAGATATATATAACCAGTCTGGGAGGAGGGAAGGGCAGTGGATACTCTGAAGGTGAGGTATTAAGCGTCCTACCTCTAAAGGCATTTCACTCAGGAAAGGAATGTCCATTTTCTGACACTGGGTCACCAGAGCAGTGAAGAGTGGCTTGTTAGGCCTTTTGGGGTAGTAGATGGTTGGCTGGTAGCCCTAGGAGGTAAGGAAAAGGAAGGATATTCAATCCCAGATCTTAGGATCCCCATGACCCATCCTACAGCCCTTCCCGGCATACTTACAAAGAGTTTGAGGTGTCGAGCACAAACCAGGCCATCTCCCCCATTATTCCCAGGACCACAGATGACCAGGACAGTTGGGGGGCTCCTGGACATGGACGTAGATGGGTATGCCTGAGGGCAAAATCAAAGAGGATTCAGAAAGGCTTCAACTCAACCCACTGCCATCAAGTCAGAACCAACACATCGCGGACCCTCCCGCGGGTTTTCGAGGCCGTAAATCACACGGGAGGAGGTAGTCCTCCCACGAAGTTGTCGGTGGATTCGAACCGCCAGATTCGTGGTCCCTGGGTTAGTGGGGTTAACTCCCGAAGGGGCGGCAAGTTACAGCCTAAGCTGGGCCCTGTTGTCCCTCCCCTCTGTGACTGTGTCCGAGGCTTTCCCTTGCTCTTCCACCGGGCGGGGGCGGCGCCACCAACCTTGGCAATGGCTGTGGCACAGCTCAGGCCAGCTAACTCCATGAGTTGGTCCACGCTGAACTGGTACTCGTTAAACAGCTCCTGGTCCACCGCCTGGGCCTCCTCCTGGCTGAGAGAAACCCGTCCCCGCCCCTCAGGTGCAGGTTCGCACAGCTGGAGCAGCCATGCCGCCCCCGACCCGAGAAGGACAGTCCACTAAGGTCCCGCGCGCCCGGCAGGAACCCCGCCTACCTCAGATACTTCACCGCTACGTGCGCCATTGTCCGAGGTTCACCGTGGCCCCCCGAGTGCGGCCGCTGCTGCCCCCACCAGGTGGGACCTAAGCGGCAGGTGCCCGCCCGGCCGATGACACGCGGCAGGCGCGAGCCAGCAACCAGCAGCCCGAGGCCCAGCAGCGCCCGCAGCCCGGACATGCAGCCGCACAGCCAGCCCGGCTGGCGCCCCACCGCACATGCGCGCGGCCTCGCCCCGCCCCGGGAAAGGCGCAGCCGGCGCGCGGCGTCCCCGGAAGCGAGGGCGCCTGTCACCGTGCTGGCTTCTCAGCGAAGTGTCTCCTGCCTTGTGTTGACAAATAAAGCATTCACCTACCAACTTACATTACCAAATTATTTCAGTACAACCTGGAATGTGAAATGTGAAAAATGAATATAAAACCATCTAAACAGGGCTTGGGACATCCCAAACCAAACCCATAGCAATGAGTTCTGATTCATAATAACCTTATAAGATAAAGGTACAACTGCCCCTTAAGGTTTCCAAGGCTGTAAATTTTTACGGGAACAGAGTGTCACATCTTTCTCCCACAGTGTTCGGTGGTTTGGAACCACCGGGTTTGAACTGTAGGCCTTTTGGTTGACAGCCATACACTTTCCCTGGCACATAAACCAAAACCAAATCCATTGCAGTAAAACTGATTCTGACTCATGATGATCCTCTGTCAGGTTTCTGTGGCTGCAAATCTTTCTCCCATGAAGAAGATGGTGGATTTGAACTTCCAACTTTCAGTTAATAGCCCAACATATAAGCCACTGAGCCAATGTTGATTTTGCTTATTGTCATCAGGATGGCGTTAAGTTGTAAATCATACGGACAGAGATTACCTATCTGGTCTCACACAGAGAAGCTGGTGGATTCATACCGTCCTGTGGGCTGGCAGCCAACTTCTTATAACCAAGCTGCCAGAGCTCCCTTCTGTGTCAATGTTGTTATATGCTGTTATATGAGTGAGCTAGAACTCATACATAGCTGACCCTCCAGTAGGTTTTCGGAGGCTATAAATCACATGGGAGGAGACTGCCCACTGTTCTCTTATGGAACAGGTGGTGGACTAAAAACGTGTGCCTCTGAGTTGGCAGCGGAACTCCTTACCACCAGGCCACCAATAGAGCTCAATAAATTACTCTATTGTGAAAATAAAAGATAAAAACAATGGAGAAAAAAAACTATAAATGAAATAAAAATTTCCTCTATTCCTATTTACACTAAGTATTTTGTGCAACTTAGAATTCCTCTTGAAATCAGTTCAATATCACTCTATAACTCCCTAATACCTTTCCACCTTCCTCTATTTACCAGGATAGCATGCTATACACCCAAATCATACTTAATACTTAATTACAAGAGACCCATGGGTGGTGCAAAAGGTTTAATCTCAGCTATTAACTGCAAGGTTGGTGGTTCAGCCTATCCAGTACACTATAGAAGAAATGTCTGTTGATCTATTTCTGCATTGAAAATCCTATGGAGTATATTATTCCGTCACACTTGAGGACTTATCAACTGAAATCTGCCAGACTTAAATAAATAGACTACTAAGATAACTAGGTAGATAGCTACTGTGGAGTTGCCTCCAACTCATGACAACTCTGTGTAAGCAGAACTAAGTATTGCCTGTTGTTGTTGTTACGTGCTGTAAAGTCGCTTGTGACTCATAGCGACCCTGTGTACAACAGCCCTAAATCCTGCTCTATCCTGTGCCAATCGCATTGCCTCTG